AAAAAAAAAAAAAAACAGTGGGGGAGCGTCCGCGCGGTCGGCCCTTCCAGCCTATTTACCTCTGTTCGGGCCTCGGCCTTTGGGCTCCGACATATTCGCCATATCTTAACCCGGACAGAGGGCAAAGTGACGAGGGATCAGGTACTATCGGGGGCCAAACAACCTCTGGCCGACCGAAAATCCCGGAGCCGATTCCCGTGGGTATGGTAACCAGGTATAAGATACGTGGGTCTTGGGAGCCTACAAAGTCTGGTTGCCAGACTAACCGTTTATCATGATCCATTGATCAACACCCAAAGGACCTTAGTGGAGTCTGCAGGGTGTGACCTATAAAATCGCCATGTTTCATCCTGTCATCGTGGCGGCGACTAGCCTCTACCCACCAGAGCACAGGGTTGGGGAGGCGGCTGGAAAGACTAGAAATCGGCCAAATAGAGAGATGAGCATGCCAAGGGAGTTTGTCCGCTGGGGTGCGGCGAAATGTTCTCTCAACGGACAAACTCCCCCGGCATGCTTATCTCTCTGTTTGGCCGATTTCTACTCTTTCCAGCCGCCTCCCGAAGCCTGGTAGAGGCTAGAGTCTGGTGTGGTGTGACCTATAAAATCGCCATGTTTCATGCTGTCATCGTGGCGGCGACATCGTGCAGATAAGGCGGCTTGGCCAGTCGCTGGACCATAGCCTGGCAGGGAGTTATCTTACAACCGCACTGGTTTCTCAGAACTTTCTCTGCTGGGGTCGTTCTTATCTTCCTGCAGATGTTCGCTAGCGCTAGCCTCTACCCGAGTGAGGCTGCAGCAAACTAGCCTGGGTACCATCGCTACAATACGCAACGCTCGAAAAAATCCGGATGGTACCCAGCCTGGCTAGCGGCAAACTGTACTCTCCTTTCATGTGGATTTCTCTATTTGGTCGATTTCTACTCTTTCCAGCCGCCTCCCGAAGCCTGGTAGAGGCTAGATGTTCGGTCTGGCTTGTTTTGCGGCAAGATTGTGCAACGTTTTGCACATCTCTTCAGCAAAATTTCATTGAGAGCATGTTGGTCATGACATCCATACAGAATATAACCGGGTAGCTGGCCTGGAAGCAGTCTGGAATCCAGGCTACGGAAAGTTTGAACAGTGTCAGAAGCGCTACAGAAATTTCACAAGGGAGAAACAACCATTGCTGCTGATGCGAACACGACTGTAGACTGTCCATCTTCTTCACAATTTTGTCTGTGTATTGTACATATAGTCCTATCGATGCAATGTGTAGCATTTATATTAGACTGAATGTCCAGACTGATTTAGAAAAATGCTATACATCATAGAATCTACCTGTTATAATCATTGTGCAAGGAAGTTTGACCTGACTTCGAAATGTGCCACTAACATCTAACATCCGAGCAAGTAGTAGCTCGTTAAAAGTAATGAAACGGGCCAAAGCGAACAAGAAACATCAACATCTGCCGGGAAAACAGAGAGGAGAGATATGTTTTATGTTTTGGAACCGAAGCTGCAGATCACACGCCCCCAGATGCGCATCAGCAGTGCCGCTATCTCCACCCTGAACCTTTCGGCGCCTTTCAAGCCTTATCAGGCCTCTCGGCAGCACAGAGCCGTGGAGATAAGCGCCTAGCCTCTACCAGGCTTCGGGAGGCGGCTGGAAAGAGTAGAAATAGGCCAAATACAGAAATAGAGAGATAGCATGCCAGGGGAATTGGTATTTATTTATTGGTTTATTTGTATCAACATATCAACTACATAACTCGCAGCTTTGACATATAGGGCTGAATTGTGATGTTTGTTTACAATATAAATCATTAATAATAGGGAAAATACAATCATACCGGAATCTACAGAATCTAGAGGTATGCTGGAGAGAACAGTTTGCCGCTCCCAAAGTAAATGTACTCTCTAGCGGACCAACTCCTTCGGCATGCTATCTCTCTGTTTGATCGATTTCTACTCTTTCCAGCCGCCTCCCGAAGCCTGGTAGAGGCTAATAAGCGCCGAAATGGGGGGAAAGATGTCTGTTGCCTTGCCAGAATGTGGATGGCAGATAACTATGAAGAGAGGAGACAAAAAGGGCTCTGATTTAATGTTTTGTTTCGTACTTTGATGCAGTGATATGTTATACTGGCTGGTGATGTTCCCAAGGAATCAAACCATTTGTACAATGCGCCAAAAAGCAGTTACTCAAGCAACTGGATATGATTTTGAAAACGTCAGACGTTTCAGCTAGTATCCACTAGCTTTCGTCAGTGACTGAGAGACCAGAGGAGAAATGCAGGTATAAGCACAAACTATTGATGTCTAACCTTCATCGACGCATTTGTACAATGATTAAGTCAAAATTTAAATATGTAGGAAACTTGTTTTTTCCGGCCCGCCTTGTTTTTTTTCGCCCGCTCGCATTAGATTTGGAGTCTGCGGTGGATGTCATCCATAAAATTTACTTGCTGTAGGCTTATCGGGCTGCTCTGGCCGCCTCGCGATGATCGCGCCAGCGCCCCGCGGGAACACCTCTCAATCCCCGCATCAAAGTCCCGCCAAATCTCGCGTTATCCTGGTGGCTCCGGGGCCGGTCGGCACGACATGTGGCTCCCAGACTTAATTAAATTTGTTGGGCGAATTTATTTCCAATTTACTGTCGGCTTGACCCGGCGCTGCCCCCCGGGAGAGTCGTTTACGCGGCGAGAGCCCAGCTTTACCGCGAGGGGAGGGCGGCAACAGGCGGGACCTCGCCGGGGATCGGGTGCAAGATTGCGGCGTTAATTTTTTTTCGGGGAGCGACGCAAGTTATACCTAGTGTCTACCAGACTAACTACGCTGGCTATATGTAGGAGAATATTTGCCAGGGGAGTTTGGCCGCCTTCGGAGGGAAAGTAACTACCTCCCGGCGGCCGGACTCCCGTGGCCAATTTTAAACTATTTTTTTGCCGAATTCTACGATCCGTATTCCCGTAG